GGTCAGAAAGTTAGCCTCTTCTACGTCACTACTAGAAGCTAACAATTAGAGCTGAATGATGTGTCATTTTCTGATTGGAAATACGATTTCAAACTACACAATCATGTGATTGTCAAAGCTGCAGTTTTTGTAGTGCTCTTGCCTGACCCAGGACATGAAGCGTCACCTATTTTAGACATCTGGGGTTTTGCCCGAGTATTAAAAATGTTACATTGGCAGCAGCAAGCGGGATAGGGGTTACGGGAGCAGAGCCTAATTCTTGACCTGCACATTTGATCATTTTTACATTTTTGTTTCTTGTCATAGCGCTGCTACAGCTGGTAGGATTAATGGCTGTGGCCGTCTGTCTCTAGGACTAATGTTCTGTCCGTCACTCACCACGAGTGTGAGAGCGACGGACTCTCCTGCAACAGTGGAACAGGATTTACCGTAATAACACCAAGTGGACTTCAAAGCACAACTTATTTTCTTTAAAAACTGTTTGAATTTTTTCAACTTCTTTTGAGTAGCAGTGATTCAAAGTAAGCATTAAATGTGTCAGATTTTGGCGTTGTAGCGATGCGTTTTTCATTTGGCCCGGAGAACTGTGCAGGTGACCCGCTTTAGTAAAGCGATGCTGGGGAAAATCCACATGCATGTTTCTTGTTCAGAAGTACATTTAATACATTTGTACCTTCAGTGTTTCTCCTTGCAATATCAGAGTAGTAGCTTTTAATGTTTTGATGTTGTTTCCTTTCTTGTTTGTAAATGTTGGGTGTATTTTGTGAATAATGACCTCAACCTGACATAAAAAAAAACTTCCATGAATTTAATTAAAATCACAATTTCTGCTAGAAAACCATTCAGCCTAACTAGCCGTTAGCATTAGCAACTCCTCAACATGGCGGAACACATTTAAGCTTCTGCTACTGTGAGGGTAAATTCAATTCATATTCAAAAATACTTTATTAATCCCAGAGGGAAATTGATTGATCAATGTTGCATTTTTTACTCGAAATGTGAGCAAAGGCAGCAGAGGAGTTGTGTTGCTGTTAGCCAATCAGAAGAGAGACTGGCGTAGATTTGCTCTTGACATTGGAGGGGACTTGTAAATCTAACAAACCCCCCCCCCCACACACACACACACACACACACACACACACATTTGAGCAGTTGTCTCTTTGAGCCATCATATATCAAAGTACTGATTCCCCACATATACTATGACTTGGACATGTCTTTAAAACCACAGGAAGCGCTAAAAGCTTTTCTTCTAAAGAAATTTAGATTTTTGACTTCAGCACGGTACAGTCGGCATTTCAGCCTTTTTTCTGATTGGTTATTTTTGAGCTGGCTAGTCCCGCCCCTCATGTGTCTCTCTGCCTGTGAGTGCCCAAACTAGCCCACCCCTCCAACATATATCCGCCCCTAAACTGAAGTACCAGAGCTTTTTTTTCTTCACACAGAAAAGGTTTTCATTCATACTAGAGGCCACGGCAGATTTATTAAAAACAACAAGTGAATGAGACTTTTAGCAGAAGCTAGCAAACGCTCAGAGACGTTTCTGAAGTATAACGGTGCAGTCTGGAATGAATTAGTTTGTGAGGCACAGCTGTGTTTGGACAAGGGTGAGTTGGTTTTTCTAGCTTCTGCAAGTTGGCCTTGCAAACACACGCTACCTCTGTGTGTGAGTAGACCTTCCTTTAAAGAACCAAGAAGTAAATGGGTTGCAGGAGAATCGTTAGGTCAGTGTGCCGTGCCGTTTAGTTCTGGTCGTCCTGCTGTCTGGAAGCTTGTGTTAAATGGGTCGGTAGGATTTAACAACAAACTTTTCCCTAACACCCACAACTAGATGACCGTCCCAGGAACCTGCTGCAGGGGCCAACCTACCTAGGAAGAGTTCTTGGGCTGTCCATAATTCGTCGAGGTGAGCGGATTTTTGGCTCAAACGAAAACTTCTCTTTGATGTTTTCCAGGACTGATGGAGCGACATACGTGAAACCCTAAAACCGAGAGAGGAACAGGCAATGATCATGCAGCACTAGCAGAAAATGTCTAACTAACTGGTAACTGTCACGGTTAGATTACCAGGAAGACTTGATTTGCACTCTCACTGAGCGTGGAGTCGTCCGGGCTGTCGACTGGCGTCTGACTGGTGAACTTTGAGTCAAACTGACTCACATCGTCCGCTGATTGCTGCAAATAGGAGACAGGAAATGCATGGTGACGAGTTACAGCAACACGAGCGGACGTCTCAGCTGTCAAGATGAACAGGAGACATCTGAAACAGGAGGAGGCTGGTTCCTTCTCTGAAACGTGAGCTGCACATTCTAAAGGAGCCTCTTTCTTTTTTAAATAGAACAGAATAGACTTCATTGATCCCGCTGTGGGGAAACTCACTCAGAGAACCCGTCACCTAAAAAACATCAGAAACTCACCAGAATAGGTCTGAAGGGAGGCTCCACTTTCCGAGCCAGTAAATCTTCCCAGTTGATAAATCGGAAGAAAGGATGAGCCTGTTGGATACCAAAGCCAAGAATGTGATGCAGACCTGCAGAAATAGCCAACAACAACAGCGTCTCCATCCGGTCCTCACCTGTACTTCTGCTGCATCTCCTGGTCCAGCTCCCAGCCGTGAAGAGGCATTTCTCTTTAGCAGCTGTAAGACATATGTCATGTTAGAAGAAGGTACGGATCTGGATCAGGACCGTAGGAACCAAAGCAGAGCCAACCCTCTTGAGGAGATCTCTGGCTTCTTGTGTGAGGTAGGGTGGAAGGCTGAGTTTGCACTTCAGGATCTTGTCAATGGTCTTTTTACGGTTCTCACCGGTGAAAGGAGGCTGTAATCCGAGAGGAGAGCAAACATCAACCCAACCATTCCCAAATTCAGATCGTAGTTTAGGAAAGTCCAACAGAACTGTATTTTAAGCTTTTGAACTGACCGCTCCTGTAAGCATGTCGTACATCAGAGCACCCAGACTCCACCAGTCTACCGCTCGGTTGTGTCCACTTCTCATCAAGATCTCCGGAGCCCTGCAACAAAGTCCAGAGCCTTCACTGACGGAGCAACAGGAGCCAGCTAAAGTGAGACGCATCAGCAAAAGGTCCTCACATGTACTCAATAGTCCCACAGAACGTGTGTGTCACCGTCCCGTCATGAATGGACTCTTTACACAGGCCGAAGTCGGTCAGCTTCACGTGACCTGAGGAACAAAACATGAAGTCAGGCAGCGTTCACGCCCCACCCTAACGCAGACACGCACCTGTTTAATCACACCAGTGCTGGTTACCTTGGCTGTTGAGCATGATGTTTTCAGGCTTCAGGTCTCTGTAGATGATGCCTTTTTGGTGCAGATGACCCAGAGCCATGGAGATCTCTGCTAGGTAAAAACTAGACCAAACATATAAAGAATTTAAAACTCACTTAGGAAACAAGGGTTATAAACGCATTATATAACAGCTGTAATGTAACTCCTGTGTTTATTGTAATAAGTTACTGTAACAGGGGTTACTGTTGACTGCAGGGTTTGACACGCTGAGATTTTACATTTAAGTTTTAAAGGAGTCATTTTCACCAGCAGCCATGAAGTCAGGTTAGAACAACCCCTACTCACCAGGCTGTGTCCTCCATGAAGATGCCCTCCCTTTCCAGCTGCATGAACAGCTCTCCTCCTGCACAGGTGAACATTTACATCACGTTAAACAGAGATCAGCACCCGTTCCGGGTTTGAAGAGCTCGTACCGGCCACAAACTAACTGAACCAAACTGAAAGGATTCAGGAAGTAAAAACGTTCACATGGTCATAAAATCTAACTTCTGAGCTTCAAGTTGCCGGATGGAGCTGGACCCGTCTCCCATCGCCGGACGTATTTTTGGTGCATCTGTGATGCTAGTTGAGATTCTTCTGATGATGCTTTTAGTTTTACTAATCCGCCTTGTGCAGGAAAGAAGGAATAAAGGTACATTTTTGTTCAGACATTTATTGAGGGAACTTTAAATCAACCTCATTATATTCTAACCTAAATAAGACCGGACAAGAGTCACTGTGACGAGAGCGAGGCGCTCTGCTCCATCTCAGCTCCTATCTCTTTCAGATGTAGCGTAATCCAACAAATCGGCTGTTCAGTGCACAAGGCAAAGTTGTGACATTTGTCCCAAGTGAGCCAACGTAGCTGCTGTGCTGTCAGCAAGTAAAGGTGTTTGCTCAGCTGCTACTGACCGCTGAGGTACTCCAGGATGAGGTACAGCTTCCCTCCGGTCTGGAAGGCGTAGATGAGATCGACGATGAAGGGATGCTTCACCTCCTCCAGAATGTTCCTCTCTGCCTTGGTGTGAGCCGTGTCCTTGGCATTGCGAACAATCATAGCCTGGCGATCAACACCAAAGTAGAGATTAAAAACAAACATTAGTTCATAGGAACACACGGACTGCTGCCCTGGAAGATCTTTAGCTAAACTCTTAGAAATGAAAAGTCTTCTGTGTTTTCTATTTGTTTAGAATTTATTACCTGAACTGAGAAACAAGTTTTTTTATTGCTGTATATTTTATTTGTTATAGCTCAACAAGCCAGACACAACGGTGAAGGTGGAGTTTAATCGACATTTCTATTTTAGTGCAGGCATATGTGCTGCAACCCAAATGCTTTTCTCTAACGACGGGGTTTCTCTCTCCGGCAGGCTGTTGCAGTCCCGTAACATTTTCAAATATTCTTGTATTCAAATTATTACCATTATGCCTATTTTGGACTTATCCGAGTACAAACAACCTTTAAATGATTACTGCCTTTTTAAAATGAATAAATCACATTTTTGTGGCCTGCGACAGCTTTAAACCTGACAATCCTCTTCTAATCTAGAAAAGTTTCAGCGCCTGCCCAGAATATTCTGCCTCTTCAGCTTTCAGCACCGCTGTTGATCGTATTTCTGTTTACTAAACACTTCGATCAGACAGCTGACTAGATGTCTGTCAACAATAAAAAGGTCTCAGAACGGAGTGTTTAGAGAAGTGAAAGCCTCTGATTCCCGCAGCTCTGGAACCACAGAATAATCCCATGGATGATGAACGTCGTTTCTCTAAGAAGAAACACATCTTAAAGCTGGCTTCAGAAACTGAGATTCTCCATAAATACAAGTCTGATTTTTTTACAGACACCTTTATATTTTACATTCATATATATAATTTCAGCAGATCCTGTGAGTTAATCGGGCCAACGTGGCTTCAGATGTTGGGCTGGAGCTGAAAGAGCCGAGGCGGCAGCAGAGAGGTGCAGATAGCGATCTATCAGCTAACCGTGAAACCTAACCCTACCGCCGGCTTCAGCAGCAGCAGGAATGTCAGGATTTTTTTAAAGTATGTAAAATGATCATATGACACAAACTGACAAACGCTGGTTTCCAACAACAAAAATCCAACGTGACTTTTAAATACCTTTTTTAAAACTTTCATGGCAAATATCTTGCCCGATGCAGCTCCGACAACTTTGCGAACTTGGAAAACCTGAACGACAAGAGATGAAAGGCATGTTTCGAATAATCGTAATCAAGAAAACCCCTGGTCAGGTGACCAAGGCAAAAAAAATCCACCCACATCTTTCCCAGGAGTACTACGTGTTGAGTTTTTGTCCTACCTTTCCATAACCACCTTTCCCGAGAACCCGCAGCAGCTCAAAGCACTCCGGTCTGATGTTCTCCGCCCCCTGGTTGACGTTGTCCTCGGAGATCTCAATCTTCTCACAGCCGTCCATGTCGCTGCAGCGGAAATAAGGTTCAGGGTGCAGCGCTGAGTCTCGTTTTTTAACTTTGTTTGGTTGTAAAATGTTCAAAAAAACTTACAACTCAAATCCAGCGCACTGCTCCATAATGTCACTGATTTCAATCTGGCAGGGGGAGAAATAATTCAGGATCATGATATTTTACATTATTTTCTAAACAAGAATCCCAATAAGTCTTATTTCGGATATTTTGTGTTAACGTTTGGACCTTTAATTGACTTTTTTGTTTATCATTACTATTTATATAACTCAACAACTGAGAAAGTATTTATCTCAAAAAGATAAATATCCTCTGGTGACTCTGCAGCCTTCAAATAAAACATTGGTTGCTCAAATTTAATTTTATTTAGAGTTGAATTTAATTTAAAATTTAAAACATTAAGTTCAAGAAAATGCCAATTTTATAAACATATTGTGATAAAGTCACTTATAATAAATGTATTATTAGATTGTAATTTGCATGGACTGCTTTTTTTGTGTGTACACCTACACCTTGTAGGTCTACGCTACTTAAACAAAACTAAAATTATTTCAGTTCAAAATGATTTGCTTTTAATTAGCGACTTGGAATATTTTTAGCTTTTTATACAGAAAATATCAGCATTGTTTCACTTTTTTGTCCAAATATATTCACATTACTAAGTAAAATCACCAGGAATCAAAGACTAATCAGCAAAAGGGAACATTTAATGTGTTTGCTGAACCGACTTCTCTATGTAGTGAGGGTTTTGTCCTGTTTGGGACATGCAGATGTACAAAAACATGCCTTGAATCAGCGCCATCTATGCTCCGTGACTCTGCGGTAGCTCTGCCTTTTCTATCACTGTTTGAACAGAAGCAAACGGGCAGCCAGCCTCTCAGCCCACACAGTCCCACTCTGTCACATCTTGCCAAAATAAACTGTTGCACCCGGAGCCGCATTTATCACCGCAGCACCTTTGGCCAAGTAAGGATGGTTTTCACAACTCCAGCATGACAGCGATGGATTAAAAACGTGACAGCGTCAACAGCTTATCGCGGAGTCGTGTTTGTTACCAAAGAAACACAGAAGAAAAGGCAATTCTGTCACGATTAAGGGTAACTCTCACTTTGCTGTGCGGAGGCCCGACCGTTCTGGCTGCACGCAGGAACAGGCCTGCGGTGGCTCCTGCCAAGCTACCATGCTAGCTAGCTACCGTGTGTCAAGAGTTTCTGCCGTGACAGCTTCCGTAAAAGTACCTCCTCGTTCTCATCATCGGAGACATTCTCCTCCGGCTGGTCCAAATCAATGTCAAACACTCCAGCCATGGCAGCGAGTCGCTCGAATCGCTCTGTCACAGACTGCAGGAACAGCAGGCGTCCCCCACCTCATGGACAAACATGCACGGCCACCATAACCGGCTACTATAGTGAGCATGCGCACTGCGGCGCTCACAACAAAGGGGCGGGAACTTGTTTTATTGTCTCAAGAACAGAAACTGTTACAAATAAAAGCACAAAAAAATCATTTCTGAGTATACAACAAGTGGATGTGTTTCTATTTGCTTTCTCTGGATGTTTTAATTCTCATTCTAAGACGGCACAAGATTAGCTTGGTAATTTCTTACATTCTTGTCTTAAGCAAGACTTTCATAGGTCATTCAGCTGACCACAGGCAGTGAAAAATGTTAAGCGCCTTCTTTTAGTTTATGATTAGATGCTAAAATATAATAGTTTTCATTTGACAGAGGTTTAAAAACACAAAATTGGTTGTACATATATACAAGAGGGAATACCTGTGCACCATTTCTAGGAACTAGAAGTTACCCAAATCACAGCTGAGCTTCAGGCGCAGGTTTTAGTCTTATTTCCTGATATTTGGACATCTGGCCTTGGATTGGCTTACAGCAACGTGCCTCTACCACTTGCATGTGGATGTTTATCTCTACAAACAACACAGGCCTGGAGGAGCTTCTTCAATGTGAAGTTGATCGTGCTAATAATTAGCTTCTACTAGTTGAGATAGATGTCTTCTGCTGATTCTCGGACATTAAATCTACAACATCCCCATCGTAAGTCAAGATGGGCGAGTCCATGAATGTTAAATGACACTGTGACGTGGATCAGTCAGGATTTTCAAATCCTAGAGTTTCACCGTCTGTTACCAGAAACTTATGCAGGAGATGGAGTAGAAGACTATTTTCATGTTCATCCTGCATGAAAACATCAGAGTGACCGATTATAATCAGAAATAATCATTAAAGGGATACTAGGCAGTTTAGCTTGATTTAAGCACCCCCTAGTGTCAGTTTGTAGAAGCGAAACCAAAACTCTCCTCGGTGTGCGTTCGCCTTTTTAATACCCGAATCTAACAGCTGAAACATCTCCCAGCGTTCCCAAGTGTCTAGAGGAGTGAATCATCACTAAATTAAACTCATCCGCTGTGTTCATGATCTAAAACAGGCAGGAAATGTACTGAAGCCAGATAGCAACGGCAGGTAGGTCAGCTCAAAAAGCCCCAACAGACCGGACCTGCAACTGTGAAGTTGCAAGTGGAATATTCTGGTCTCAGGGGCGATAGGGGTTGGGTGACCTTTCATTAACCATGTAAAGTGTCATTTTAGTACATACTGGCTCAAGAAAATGATATAAAAATATTAAAATGTTGCAAAGTATCCCTTTAAAAATGGGTTGTTTGTGTCCCACACTTATGCCAATTTTCAATTTTTTTATTGACTATAAACAAGGAGGGGAATTGATGCCCTCCAGAGCCGACAAACTGGAACTACACTTGGGTCTACCAGTTTCAGAAAGATTGAATCTGCCCTAAAATTAATGTATTGCTCTCCAAATGATTCTACACATTGAAGCACACTGGAGCTTTTGAATCACCTTAATGTGGCAAGATGGAGAAACGAGGGCCCGGACGGGATCCGATCCCCAGACTCCCGGGTGACAGTCGCATGCGCTAACCAGTCAGCCAATGGGAAATCCCTCTGGCAAAGTAGCTAGGGCATATGATCAGTCGGGATACAGTGACAGGACGCTCACCCTGTCACATGAATTACCTCCAAGATGAATAAAACTGGACCTTTCTGCATGATAATGGTATCATTTTCCCAACACCTAAGTTTATTTAGAATTCCCCTTGGTAGCTGGGTCAGAGGCCTGCAATTGCTAGTTATTCACCTATTCTTATCTCAAACATCATATACGTAGACACGCCATGGCAAGGTGCTGCCTATTGGAGATGGCGTAGCAGCGGGCCACCATCTTGGATGGGTCCCCATTCAGCCCCAGTGCATTAAAAGAACAATCAACCACATCTACTCTTGACTAAAACACTGACCATTTTTATTCCATCATAGTTAGCAAATACCGGATATAGGCCACGTCAGCAGTCCACCTGATGACAGCCTATGAAGAAGGCTTCAGCCGAGAAGCCAAAACTGTTGGAGAATTATACAAATTATTCTTACTAATATCTGTGTCTACTAGAAGAAACGTTCTTTTTCTGATTCCTAACAAACAGACCCATTGTTGCAGTTGGCAAAAATATATTTTTATGGCCATGACATCACATATCTGTCGTGTCTGATGCAGTTTATGGTGCAGCAGAGGAAAATCAGCTGACTTCAAGACATTTCAATCCCTTAGTCCAGTGGTTCCCAAACTTATTTAGCCGCGCACCCCCTTCTATGTCCCGACCATGTCGACGCACCCCCCAGCCCCCACATCAGGGCATGGCTATATTTTATTTATATATATATATATCAGACGTCAAGCTAAACAGACAGGGTTAAAAAAATATGATCGACCTTTTTCCCCATCACTTTCATTTTTTAAATAGTAATTAATAAACATTCGATACCATTACAATTTCCTTTGATTTAATTTTAAATAAATATTTAGAGTGCCCAGGTAGCACATAAACAGTGCAATTTAACGGTTTTCTTAAAGTAGGAATGTTTAACCTGTGCGGCCAGAGCACTCTCCTTCCTTCTGCTCTGCGTAAACCTGAGCTGATCACCTACTTGTGCGTAATCAAATGTCTATAGGGGAAAATATGGAAAAGCCATGAGATTCACTTTTGCCTCAGACCGACTTATTGCTGTTTTATGGTGTGGCTGAATCTGCAATCCGCTGCCACGCGGACTGGAACAACAAATGCTGCAGTAACATGAGTTGTAGTCAGGTTCATGAGGAGTCACTGGCTGGAGCAGACCCGACTTTAATACATCATCCCAAAATAGAAGCTAATACCTTAATTTCACCTGGAATGAAAAATGTTGTTATAAAACCTCTTAAAAGTTTTTATCACGGAGGAGGCAGCACTCATTTCTGTCTTCAGTCTGACGGCGCGCCGGAGTTTGTGCAGCGTGCGCGCTTATTGAATCTGTGTGTGTGTGTGTGTGTGTGTGTGTGTGTGTGTGTGTGTGTGTGTGTGTGCGTGCGCGCGGCACAGCTCCATGAGCCGCACAAGTCACCACGTCTGAATGGGGATCATTTCTTGATTTATTTTGTTACATCCACAATGTTCTGTGTGTGAGGTTTACAATGTCAGAACACCTGCATGAGACAGGGTGTTAATTACAATCTGCCAGAATGACTCACCACCTTCAGATTCCTCCAACACCTTTAAAAATGATCAAACATGGAACATATCGGCGTGCGCAGGCCAGAGTGCTGAAGCTCGGCGCATTGTTATTATGAAGCTAGGGCACATGCGGAGAACACACGCACACGCGCAAAAATATACTTGTTTTCAATTAAATTTATTGCGCCCACTTACTTTTTCTTAGGCCCACCCACAAATGAGTTTCTGGCTACGCTAATGGTGACATATGACAGACTTCTCTGAGCTCCGCAGCCATTACACTTTTCACCTCGCGTACCCCCTAGCGGCAGCTCCCGCACCCCCGGGGGTGCGCGCACCACACTTTGGGAATCCCTGCCTTAGTCCAACAACACACATCTGCACAAAAAATGTTTTATTATGCACATTCTTTTTAGGTCAGCCCTAAATGAAAACCGATGAAAATGTCATGAAAAATGTATTTTCCAGTTAGAAGTCTGTAAAAAGCTACTTTAATTAGTCAGCCTACATTAGAAATGTTAGAAACGTCTCTCAGTAAAATAAAACAATCCTATTTAGTGTTCAGTGTGCTATTTTAAAACTCTCTCTTCTAATCCAACACAAACAAGTGATAACTAATATACACTTTCATCCTGTTTCAGTTAAATTATGTTAACGGAGTGAAGCTAATGACAGAGACTCAGTTCTTGTGTAAAACACTGATCACTTAAAGTAACACTTTCATTTAGGGTCATTTAATATTTCACAAATATTCTAAACCTAACCAAAGACAAGTTGTCTGAATTAATTTTATGTTCACCTTATTGTGATGTCATGCAATAATATTTGAACAGTCAGACTTCTAATATACACTTACTGGTCACTTTATTGGGTACACCTTAATAGTACAGAGTTGGACCACCTTTTGCCTTCAGAGCTGCCGTAATCCTTCGTAGCATAGATTCAACAAGGTGCTGGAAACTTTCCTCAGAGACTTTGGTCCATATTTACATGATAGCATCACACAGTTGCTGCAGATTTGTCAGCTGCACATCCAAGATGCAAATCTCCCGTTCCACCACGTCCCAAAGGTGCTCTATTGGATTCAGATCTGGTGACTGTGGAGGCCATTGGAGTACAGTGAACTCATTGCCATGTTCAAGAAACCAGTCTGAGATGATTCCAGCTTTATGACATGGTGCATTATCCTGCTGGAAGTAGCCATCAGAAGATGGGTACACTGTAGAAGAAGAAGAAGAAAATATCATTTCTATAGCGCCTCTCAAGATAAAAATCACGAGGCGCTGTGGTCATAAAGGGATGGACATGGTCAGCCACTATACTCAGGTAGACTGTGGTGTTGCAACAATGATCAATTAGTACTGACGGGGCCACGGTGTGCCAAGAAAATGTCTCCCACACCATTACGCCACCACCAGCCTAAACCATTGATACAAGGCAGGATGGATCCATGCTTTCGTGTTGTTGACGCCAAATTCTGACCCTACCATCTGAATGTCACAGCAGAAACCGAGACTCATCAGACCAGGCAACATTTTTCCAATCTTTTATTGTCTAATTTTGGTGAGCCTGTGTGAATTGTAGCCTCAGGTTCCTGTTCTTAGCTGGCAGGAGTGGCACCCAGTGTGGTCTTCTGCTGCTGTAGCTCATCTGCCTCAAGGTTAGATGTGTTGTGTGTTCAGAGACGCTCTTCTGCACATCTTGGTTGTAACGAGTGGTTATTTGAGTTATTGTTGTCTTTCTATCAGCTCGAACCAGTCTGGCCATCCTCCTCTGACCTCTGGCATCAACAAGACCTTTTCACCCACAGAACTGCCGCTCACTGGGTGCTTTCCATTTTTCGGCCCAATCTCTGTAAACCCTACAAATGGTTGTGCACAACAACCCCAGAAGATCAGCAGTTTCTGAAGTACTCAGACCCCATCTGGTACCAACAACCAAAGTAACTGCACTGTTAGACTTTGCTGGCATTTGCTAGTATATTACTGTAAAATCAACAGTAAAATACCTCTAAAAGTATTTGCAGTGTAGTACTGTAATTTCCATGCACTGTTAGACTTTGCTGTCATTCCTATAGTATATTACTGTAAAATCAACAGTAAAATACAGCTAAAATCTTAGCAGTGTAGTACTGTATTTGGCATGTAATGGTGAGTAAATTCAACAACATCACATATTTTTCATGGTACGTCACTGTTTTAAAGGAAAAATTTGGTATACCTCTGACATTTTTCTGTCTGTGGTTTTTCAGTGGACATTTTAAAATACCTTGCTCAAATCTTCATTCAGAGTGCATTACCAAAACAATTCTTTGTGAGATCACCAATGAAAAAACACTATGCCCCATAGTAAAGAGAAAATGCTCCAAGAATAAATGTTTTAATTGAGCTATTATAAAAGCATACAGTATGTAAACACTCACTAAAATCTGTTTACAAATATTTTAATTATAATCCCGTAAAAAAAAGATTGGATGCTTTAACCAAGCCTACAATGTAAATAAATAAATCATCTCAGATTAATAAAATCGTATTTAAGATAATCTATTAGTCTTACTGCCTAAATGACAGTAATTGACATCTGCCTGGTGGGCGATTTAAACTGATAAATGTTTACAGAATTTTATCAAAAAACTGACATGATACCAGTTTACGACTTTATAATTGTAAGAAATTTTATGTAAAATATTCCATAAAATATTGATCATTTCAAAATTCCATCAGTTGTTTTTTTTTGCATGTTTTCACAGCAAGATTATAGGATAATTACAGCCACCAAAATTATGCTGTTGTCTATCTATTGTGTTCACTATAGATGTAACAAAAAATTCAGACAATTACAGATGGAATCTTAAGGAAATGGGCCAAGGAAGAACTCATCAAAGGTATTTTCCACCCCTAGGTATGTTTTATGTTGTTGGGTTTCCCAGAATTAGATAAGTGAAAAAGAATTCATCACTTTCACCTGATACAACCTGGATATTTGCTTTCGAAACAACAACATTGGAAAGACCATATATGATTGTTGTCTTGCACTTTTAGGAAAAGAAGAAATAAAAACTTTTTACAAACGCGTATCTCGAATGCGACCCATTACAGGGGAGTTGGTCAGTCTGGTAAGTATTTTACTGCATGTTTTGGCTTTTAAACTAGCTATAGCTGTGATCTTCATGCAAATTCTGCAAAATGGTCCCTGTCCATAAATGTGTAAACACCTTATTGAAGTTACCCGAATGTTTTAAAAACTGACAAACAAGGTGATTAATTTTCAGCTGCTACCCATGCAAAGTAATGTGATGCTTAAAACCAAATTTGTTAGGATCTACAAACAATGCATAATCTATTTTTCAATTGTCAGCATGTGATTGTATTTTGGACTGATAGCCAAAGCTAGATTTAACTTAAAATATACAACATTTAATAATGTTCTTTACCTCATGGACAATCCAGATTCTAAAATGGCTGATGTTTTCTTTTTGTAAATATTCTATGTAAATAATTTATTCATTCATGTAATTGGAAAAACAGTTCTCTGTTTACCATTTTCTTGAATAACTTTTCCCTATATTTTAGTCACTCAAGCACATCTCAGATATGAACAAGAAAACTGCTTGTGCCAAAATGTTTCTGCTACTTATTGTTTTGCTCTTGATCATTTTTTCTTTTTCTTTTTTTCTTTTCAAAGGTAAAAGGATTTGCTTCACATTTTCTGTAATGGAGACTGCTATCAAAGTCAGTTTGTTTCCTTGACTTCTCTTGTGTATGTCATTTGTTTTCAATAAAGTTAGGAGCAAAAAAAAAAGAGGCTAATTTGACAGTAAGTGTTTGCAGGTGAAGGCTGCTGGCAGTGCATGCTGTGATATGCAGAACAAGTTAGAGAGGTTTAACTCTGATATTGAGGTCAAATAATTTTCCTTTTTGTGGCCATTTTTGAGGGGATGTTACATTTTAGGCATATTTGAGCCGAAATATCCCTGGAAAAGAAACTATTGAAGATATAGGGTACTTAACATGTTTCTCTGTAAATATTGTGGATTCCGTGCACACAAATTTATATTGTTCAGTTCACATGTTAGAAGCCATAAACACAATGCAAACTATATGTTTTCTTGTGGAATTGAGAATTGTAAAGCCACTTTTAAAACTTTCACTGCCTTTCGTTCCCATATGCACAGAAATCATAGAAGAGGGGAGGACACTGAGGAGGAGATCTGGAAGTTCACTGGAAATCTTAGCTGTCAAGTTCCTGGATGTGGGTATGTTGGACAAAATATTAAAACTCTTTGTGTCCATCTGAGGTTCCATATTAAAGATGGAAAAAAAAGTATTATGCCCATTTGAAGGTTGCTCTAAATATTTCAGTGTTCGAACATCATTCTCTAGTCATATTTCTCGGAAACACATGCAGTCAAAGACTGTTCAACAGACAAGTCAACAAGAAATTGGTGACATTAACATGGTACAAGGACAAGACACAAGGACAGAACAGGACACCTTAGAAGACAGACATTTACAGAATGCTACAAATAATGAAGAGCCATTTCTAAATCAATTGGCAATGTTTTATTTAAAAATGCAAGCTAAAATGCTTTTGCCAGCCAGCACTATACAGTGCATCATAGAGGAATTCCAAGATCTTCACAGCTCTGGAGTGCACAATGTCCTTGGAAAACTGTTTGATAAACTTTCTGCATTTGACATACCTGAAGCATCTATAAACAATATTATTCAGGAACTTTCGCAAAATGACTTCCTAACACAGTACAATAAAGGTGTGTTGAGGTCAGATAAAACAAGAAAGACATTTTTCAAAGAAAATTTCAGCTATATAGAGCCCACTCAAATTTATTTAGGATGTGACCGTACAGGAAAAAGCGTTTTCTTTATTATGTGCCAATTAAAAAAACCCTAAAGTCTCTCCTAGGACAACCCACAGTGCAGGAGCAGTACAAACAGTCAAAACTCCATCAATCAAAAGACATGCTGTTAGAGGATGTCTCAGATGGTCAAAATGTCAAAGATAATTTACTTTTGCAGCAGTATCCATCATCTCTGTCCCTTATGCTCTACCAAGATGCATTCGAAGTGGTCAATCCATTAGGTCCAGGCAAAACAAAACACAAAATCCTTGCAGTGTACATGACACTAGGTGAGATTTTACCGCACAACCGGTCTTCTGTTGATGCGATGCAACTTGTTTTGCTTTGCAGAGAAGCTGATTTCAAGACTTTTGGCCACAACAAAGTTTTTGCCAGTCTTATTGCGGACCTTAAAGATTTGGAAGAGAAGGGGTTTCTGGCAGCAGACGGAAACATGATCAAAGCAGTTTTGATAGCCTTCTTAGGGGACAATCTGGGCTCACACTGCATTGGTGGTTTTACTGAGAATTTCAGTTGCAGCAAACATTTTTGCAGATACTGCTTAGTTGACAGGGAAGGCTTCATTAAAAACCCACTAGCACTTGGCCCAAAAAGAACTGCTGACAACTATAAAGATAGTATAGATATCCTCTCCACAACTGACCAGTCTGTAGTGAATGGCATAAAATTTAACTCTGTATTCAATTCACTGAAATACTTCCATGTGTGCTCTGGGCTACCTCCATGTTTGGGCCATGACCTATTTGAAGGAGTAGTTTCAGGTGACTTGTCACTATATATTGATACCCTTGTTCGAGTTGAGAAGCATTTCACATATAATGAGTTAAACAGAGCTATTGCAAAGTTCAAACACATAGGAAGTGATGCTTTAAGTAAGCCATGTGAGGTGAAAACAGGACAGAGGTTGGCAGGTTCAGCAGCACAAAACCGGTGCCTTCTGCGACTTTTACCTCTGTACATTGGTGAAAAGATAAAAGATCCTGTGGATAATGAGGTTTGGCAGTTATGTCTTAAGCTCAGAGACATTGTTGAACTTGTATGTGCCCCCCAAATCAGTCACAATGACATTGCCTACCTAAAGATAATGATAGAGGAGTATATATATCTGAGGCACAGTATGTTTCCTGACAAGGCTTTGAAACCAAAGCACCACTATTTGTCACATTATCCAGAGCTTATACTTCACTTTGGGCCACTTATTCATTTATGGACTCTTAGGTTTGAGAGCAAGCACTCTTATTTCAAACAATGTTCAAGAAAAGTGCATAACTTTGTCAATTTATGCAAGACTGGCTGAACGGCATCAGCTACTGCAGTCCTACCTCTTGGCAGGGCAAATGTTTCCACCTACAATTCAAATCATTGGAGAAGCGAATGATTATAGACATCATCTTTACAACTCTGCCACTCAGGATGCTGTGACAAAAGCAGATGTCTCTAATCATAACATGCTAGATGTGTCATCAGTTGTCTACAAAGGTACCAAATATGTCAAAGGTCATGTTGTTGTAGTAGATCACACTAATGAGAGCACTGAGTTTGGGAAAATAGTTGTGATACTTGTTAATGATTCTAAATTGTACTTTGTGCTAGAATTGCATCAGTCAGTACGCCTTATTGACCTTGGACTTTATTGCCTACACTGCCCTACAGACAGAAGTTTGTGTGTAAATGCTGACAGTCTGATGGATTATTACCCAATACCCCTTTATAACGTGGCAGATCTTTTTGTTGTCTCCCTGCACCATTCAGTTTCTTCATGATTTTTTCCCCTTATATTTCAGTGATGGAAATTGAGGATGAAATCACATGCATCCTGCCGGAATTGGAGAGACAGAAAGTACTGTCCTTTGCAGACCACCTGAAAGATGTAATCGGTGTCCAACAAAAAAGTGAACTTCTGTTAGTAGAGGCAGATGATCTCAAACATTTTCTTACACCAATTCAAATACGTAAACTACTACTTGCATTTAAGAAAGGTTTGTACACATTTTGTATCCATCTGACTATTTATCAGCTGTAGGTCACACAGGTCACTGATTTGTTTCTTTTTTACATTATGACCATCAGTTGCCAATTTCTTCTCACTATACAATTCTGGATGTTTAACTACAAAGCATTTTATTGAAGAGACTTTTTGAAATCAACATGGAAAACATTAAAGGTGTACACTAAATTTTACACCATTCACCTTCCATAAGTAGTCTTGAAATAAAGTTTGGAAATTCAGGCAAGATAGATAATGAGTTCAGTCTTCGTTTGCAGTGATGAGATTGCTTCTTTATATTTTCCTCCTCACAGTCTCCATTACTTCTCTTTTTATTGCTCTACATCCAAACAGTGAAGATATTTCTTATTGAGAACATGTTAGATGAATAGTCTATTGGTTTTATAATTATTTTTCTTTTTAAAGAACACAGTGAAGCAGAGGACCTAAATGACACCATTACTCTGGACCTTTACCCTGCTGTATCAGAGGAAACATCAACGGAAACTATTCATCCACCTTCCTCAACATCCACCTCTTGCTATCATTCCAGCTCATGGGTTTCAGACTTTCAGATTCCTTGGCAAAGATTTCCACTTAGACTGTCACAGGCGATCACCAGTGGGGTGAGAGCTCATCCAGAAGACAGGAGGAGTATGGTCAGAATTGTTGTGGAGGCCATGCAAGTTCACTGCAAAATTCCTAAACGCTCAGCTTGTGAAGAGATTGCTAAGATCATTGTAAATACACATCCACAAACATTTGCAGATTTTACTGACAAAGGAGAAAGACTAGGTTCTGGCCATTATTCATTACTGAGAAGCATCAAATGTAGAGTTGAGCATGTTAACCGGGATAATGTAACACACAGATTACGTCGACCAAAGAGAACCAGGAATGAGGAAGACTGCAGTCCAGAGAGAGATGATACTTCAAAAGTGGTTCGGCGCCTTGTTGATAGCTATGGTTGTATCAATTGGCATCCAGTTCAGCTTCCTGAGGGGGAAACTCAAACTTCTTTGGAAGAAAAAAAGAATAGATTGTTAGCAATTTTCAGTTCTCAAGGCCCAGAAGCTGTGGAAAGACCTGAGGTAGAGGATCTTATGCTCCTCACATACATTTCTCAGCGGCAGCTCATCAACAGCTGTCCCTCAGTTTCAATAGCTGAAATTCAAGAGCAATGGCCTTTCTTGTTTACGCGGAAATGTTTGTCTAGCCACTTTGAAAGACTTACTGGTATCGAAATCTGTGAACGTTTGAGTCAGGCCCTCATTACCAAAGGCAGGAGAATACTCAACTATTTTTCCAGCCAGAAGCTCAAATGGAACCTTGGTATTAGAAATTTCATTCAGGAGATAGAAGATGGAGTTTTAACCAACAACAAGGTCGGCACAGCAGCCATACTTCTCATGATGAAGTACTACAATGAAAATGAAGACTCCCTTTTCCTTTTGGCAGATGTACGTATTTTTTTCTCCGACAATTCTAGAACAAATGCTGTTTTTTTATTTATCTTTTTAATTTTCACATAGAATGTTTTGGTTTGTTTTCTTTCAGGAAATCTCTACCAGGATGTCCCTGGAAGCAGAGGGAAATCTGCCTGTCACACCAAGACTAATAATGCTTGGTGAGCTGTTATCTTTTTGTTCCTTGATTACATTTTGCTCTCAATTTAAGAGGGCTTTCTCTGGAAAAGGAGGGCAAAACGGTAACCTAGCAGCAGCCAAATCTATATATATAGCCTCGCCCCTTTTCACGTCTCCACATTTCGATTTGAAACCTCTGCCCCAGACAGTGTCTGGAAAGAGAGATGGCCATCTGCTAGAAAACTTTGAGCTGGTTGGAAGATGCCAGCTAGTGTCCGTCTACTGGCTACCATGGCATGTTGCATAGTGTTTCTCTTATTTATTTAGGTAGGAGTTTGTTGACTGCCACCTGCTGGATGGTGAGTGCAGAAAGGCACATCATCTTTGAACTGCATTCAGCAAACTGCTTTGCTGATGCACTGGCAGTATTCTTTGGGTCATTTTATGTCCTGAATCTGGAATACCAGGAGGCAGCATGTGCAACATTGGAGTTAATTCAAAGGTATGTCATAACATTTATATGATCAGTGCTATGATGAATGAACTATCCCCAAGTTAGTCGTCATTTTCCTACAAACCCAGGGTTCTTGAATTATACTGATTTATATCCTTAAGATTTTTTGTTAGAATTAACCCCGAAGAAGGGACAAAATGTACATCCAAATTTGGCACAAGCAGGAAGACTGGGACAAGAGTGAAGCGGAAGGTTGTCCACATTAATCCTCGTGTCACAACTTTTCTCCAAAGGCTGACAGAATTTGAGTGGAAAACCTCAAACTAGGTAGCACAGTTTTAATTTTTCTAAACTTGATTGTAATACAGTGCATAAATTATGCAAAGCAGGCAAGGTGTTAAAGTGTAGCTTGTTACTTTTTGGAACATACCTGTCTCCACAGATCACTCATGGCCCAAGTTGTCTCGACAAGCTAAGAAGAATGGCCAACCTCTCTCCCCATGTTCCAAGAAACTGGCTGTTAAATATATTTGTTTTTTGTATGATGCTTATTGTTTTTCTTACCTTTGGCTTCCAAATATTTCCAAAAAAACATAATTTTGTATTATCTCTCCCTGGGGAAACTGAATCACAGGCAATTTATTGGTATGTTTTTCTGTTTTAATGGAAGAAATCAAGTAATAAAAAAAGATAATCCAGTGCATTTTGTTTACATCTTGATTTTAAATATATCCAACAATCACACAAACAAGTGTGCAGGTGTGTGTGCGTGCGCACAAGTATAAACCTTTTATTTTGGGAGCCTTTATTTTATTACAGTATGTTACCGTTTACTCATATCTTAGTAAAATATGACATGAAAAAGGTAAATTACTGCCCACAAGAACACAGTACCCTCTGACAGCGTTGACTATTTTCAGTAGCAAAAGTGTATGTTTAGGGTAAATCACTGGAAAAGGTATTGCAGCATACCTTAAAATGAGCTTACGGTAACATACCATAAACATACATCACAACACATATTTATTAATCACGGTAAAATGTTGCGTTATTGATGTAATTTTCTTGTGAAATATATTAAGGTATTTTACTGGCAACGCTGTTGCCAGTATCTCACTGCCGTGCAGTCAGAGGGTTTTTTACAGCAATAAAATATACGGTATAATTCTGGGATCAACACTAAGTGGTAAGTTACCGTTACCCATGCATCACGGTATCATGCTGGCAACAGTGTTGCCAGTTTATTACTGTAAAGTGGATAGGTAAAGTCTAACAGTGTGAAATCACATTTCTTCCACATTCTGAAGCTCGATTTTATCTGCCGCGGATTGCCTTGATCATGTCAACATGCCTCCATGTGATCGGCTGATTAATCATTTGTGTTAACGAGCAGTTGGACACGTGTACCCAATAAAGTGGCCAGTGAGTGAAGTTTAAACATCATAATGTAGACATTTTTTGTCATTTCTTTCACCAAATGTGTCCTAAACTATAGTACACACAAGATCCCACTGACTTCCACTTTATCTGAGCTCTGGCTTTTTTCTTACAAACTAGTTTTATTTTCTCCTACATGAAATGCCAAATGTACACTGCACAAACCAATTTCAGAGAAAGTAAAAAAAAAAAAAAAAAGCTAAATTCTTAGACATTTTATCTTCTTTAAAGTCTAAAATAATCACATTTTCTAGAAAAATGCTGTCACATTGCTTAAACATCAAGTAAAAATTCCTAAATATCCTAATTTTCTTGCTTTGAGGGGGAAAAAAGAGTCAGCCAAAGACTGCTTTGTTAAAACTAGCAAAATAATCTCAATTTAGATTTATTTGCTAGTTTAAATAATATTCAAGATTATTTACCTTGTTATACATTTGTCATGTTCTTATTAAAAGAACAATCAACCACATCTACTCTTGACTAAAACACTGACCATTTTTATTCCATCATAGTTAGCAAATGACTCTATACCACAAGAGGTATTTAGGGCCAGCTAGAGATGTTAATGTTTCAGTGTTTTTGCTACGTAAATTTGAATGTAAAGAAACAATCACCAGCTAAAAAACAGGGGCGTGTCCAGGGAGTGGCCTGGGGTAGCACATGCCAGCCTTAGAATCTGATTGGCCACCCTAGGTGCCACCCCACTAAGTTCCAGTTTAAATTGACTTTACATTGTCGACAAAAGGCTTGGGTTGTAAACTCCAAAATAGTGTGTGGTTGCATGCACCTTTCACCTTGTTTTCTAGCCCAGGCATGTAGTATTTACATTACTTAATATTTTTTCATATTCACATAAATAGTATTTAGAGTCCCACTCAACTCCAGTTGGTGGCAGTAATGCAACAAGAAGTGACTTGCTAACCACCACAAAAGTAGAAGATGAAGAGGAAAAAAAATGGTGATTGTGCAATGTGAAACTGAAAAATTCACTAGAAAGTAAATAAATAAATAAACGATTTGTGTAAATAAATAAATAAGCATAACCACTGGTGCCACCCATTAATAAACAAGCGCCCCACATGGGCCACCCCATTTTAAAAGTCCTGGACACGGCTCTGATTAAAAAAAAATTTGATTCAGTTGAATGCTGAAAAAAAGCAAAAACTAGTTTTGGAACTGTTCATTTTTAGAATATGTTTATGCGTTTTTCGTGATTTTCAATGAAGAATTGTAGAAAAATGCGACGTAAATTTAGGTCACATGACTTCCGGGGTCAAACAATACTACTTCCGATAAGTTATAAAGGTAACGTAACTTCCGGCAAGTCATGGAGTTCTATGTGCATCACTTCTGTAAACCAGGTGTTATGATGTAGTCTTTCCTTTTCTACAGTCACTGGGTGACACACACACTAAAACACAGGAAGCGAGCACGCTGGAGTGGGTCGATCTTAACGTTGGTTGCAGATGTCGGTAGTGACCATTCAGCTCGGCCAGTGCGGTAACCAGGTCGGTCAGGAGCTGTTTGACATCATTTGTAACGATGCAGAGCAGAGTCAGAGAAAGACTTACAGCACGAGCTGCTCTGCGCGCTTCTTCCGGCCAACATCAAAGGGAGGTGAGGCGGCAGCTGTTTCATCATTTAAATGATAGTTCTATTGTAGGAGCTCGCTCTCTCTCTCTCTCTCTCTCTCTCTCTCTCTCTCTCTCTCTCTCTCTCTCTCTCTCTCTCTCTCTCTCTCTCTCTCTCTCTCTCTCTCTCTCTCTCTCTCTCTCTCTCTCTCTCTCTCTCTCTCTGTCTCTCTCTGTCTCTCTCTGTCTCTCTGTCTCTCTGTCTGTCTCTCTGTCTCTCTGTCTCTCTGTCTGTCTCTCTGTCTCTCTGTCTATGTGTGTGTGTGTGTTTTAGACCTTGTAGCCAGGGCCGTGCTGGTCGACATGGAGCCGAAAGTCATCAACCAGAGCATGAACAAAGCTGTGAAGTCTGGCAGGTGGAGGTATGGAGAAGATTCCCACTTCAGCCAGAAGCAGGGTTCTGGAAACAACTGGGCTAATGGGTAAGAAGGCTGGTTTTAACTTTGATGTCTTCAGCTACAGAGAGAATCTCACCCTCAAATGAAGATGATGTTCTCGATCCAACCAGGTACTGCGTCCTCGGTCCTCGCCACAAAGATGCAGTGGAGGAGCTGGTGAGGCAGGAGGTGGAGCGTTGCGACGCTCTTGCAGGGTTCATACCTGTGATGAGCGTTGCAGGAGGAACCGGGTCAGGAGTCGGTACTTACGTCACTCAGTGTCTCAGAGACATCTACCCAACATCCTTCATACTCAACCACCTCACCTGGCCGTATGGGACCGGTGAGGTACAGTGCACATGCTCTCCAACTTACTAAAGTTAAACAATCAGTCATCATGTTTTAAATCGACCCATCATTTCAGGTGATTGTGCAGAACTATAACTCTGTGCTGACGCTGGCACACCTCTACCAACTCTCAGATGCCATGCTGGTGCACGAGAACGACACCGTGCACAAGATCTGCAGCCAGCTGCTGAACATCAAGCAGATCTCTTTTAGTGACATCAACATGGTTATTGCCCACCAGCTGGGTGGTGTCCTGCAGCCTGCACTCACCCCTGATTCTTATGGAGTCTACAGCAGAAATCCTCTTGGTGAGAAAGTTTGAAAATGCACAGTCAACCTACTTAGTGTAATGAAAGATAAATACATGGAGTGTGTATGAGGATGCAGACAGAGTCAGGAAATCGTCACGTCTGATGCCCGATTTTATATCCTCACAAAACTTTTATATTGTGCTTCACGTTAAATGGTTATTTCTTTGAAACGTTGAGAAATCCTTGTCACATCTGACCTCAGGATGTACCAGAGCCAGAGGTGCTTCATGTCACTATCTCTGGTGTTATTCACTCATAAAAATCCACAGAATCTCATGTAAATAATAGTGTAATGCTAATTTAATTCTGATGACATATTTATACAATAATCCTTGTGTTTTGGACACATTTTGGAACTTGATACTGATTTGACTTCAACAATACCGTTCATCAGTCCTGTGAGACCTAAAATATTTATTTGAGCAGAGGCTGCAGTTAGTAGGTTAGTCACATTTTCAATAAAAATGCATATAAAATTTAGACCAAGTATTGATTTTAATATTAATGTGTGTCTGCTCAGTTGCATCTGGACTAATAAAATAGTTATTCATGTAAATGTGTGTTGTTGGTAATTTGGAATAACATTTTATTGTAAGAATGGGAAACGATTTTATTCAAAGGTACAATAAGTAAATGGCCCGTTTTTGATATATAAGATTTTAGAGTCCTTACATTTTTTTCTACATTTAAAAATATTTATTTTTTTCAATAATTATCCATATTGATCAGTATGAATTTTTTTCATTCATATACTTTTTTTCTATATTGTCCAGCCCTATTCCGGAGCCCATCTCATTTGAGCCAGCGGGGTTGCCAAGTCTGTGCTAGCATTCAACACCGCCCGGCAAAAGGCAGCAGAGTTTTGTAGAGATCCTAAGCAAGCATCTTTTTTTTTACTCTGGTTAAGAAGGCTAAAGGCTAATGTTGCACTAACAATTCTAATGATGAATTAGAAAAACATTGTTGGTTCTAAAAATGTCTCAGGCTAATTTCTTAGTTACCCAAAACTCCATCCATCCATCATCCATCCATCCATCCATCCATTTTCTGAACCTGCTTAGTCCACGTAGGGTCTTGGGGGGCTGGTGCCTATCTCCAGCGGTCAACGGGTAATTAGGCGGGGTACACCCTGGACAGAGAGCCAGTCCACCGCAGGGCAACACTGAGACACACAGGACAACAACACACTCACACCTAAGGACAATTTAGACAGACCAGTTAACCTAACAGTCATGTTTTTGGACTGTGGGAGGAAGCCGGAGTACCCGGAGAGAACCCACGCATGCACAGGGAGAACATGCAAACTCCATGCAGAAAGATCCCAGGGCGGGAAACGAACCCAGGACCTTCTTGCTACAAGGCAACAGCTCTAACCACTGCGCAGCCCTACCCAAAACTCAATATTACAATTAAATATATTTATCTAATTATTAAATTATTGTGTGTGACTCGTCTTTGCTTGTCATCTAGAATCTTCTGGAGCTGAACCGTAACTGGCAACATTTGCTCAGAGCAGAATCGTTTGTTTTGAAACATTGACTGCCGTACCCACATTTGGCCACAGGATGTCGCTCTTTCTTCATGCACAAATTTTGACATTGAAAGTTTTCTTTCTGTTCTTTCTCTCCTGCTTGTGAGCTGATCTGTGCCGTTCTGTGATGTCCGTCAGGTGACTTGGTGAGCGCTCTGGCTTGCCACCCTGAATACAAGCTGCTGAGTGTGAGCACTGTCCCTCAGATGCCCAGCTCCTCCATCGCCTTCAGCACCTTCTCCTGGCCGGCGCTGCTCAAACACCTACGACAGATGCTCATCTCCAACACCAGGATGGAAGTGGGTAAGTTTATAAAAACCTCTCCACGTTAGCGCTGCCTCACTTGGGATTTTAGGGTTTATAAAGTGTTTCGACAGGTATAGACTGGCAGGTGCGTCCGCCTCCAATTTCAGAGCGAACCAGGAGCCTCACACAAGGCGGCTTCAACACCTCACTGGCCAACCTGCTCATACTTAGAGGGAAGGACGTCTACAGCGCAGAGACGGGTACAGTCAAGAAAAGGAGATGTTTTCTAAATGATTCAACCAATACAACTGCAAAAGTAGTTCAGGAGAGGATGTTTATGTAAAGTGTCCTGAGTGGTGATACAAAATCGTTTTCTGTAGGTGGTTTTGAGGACCCAGCCATCTACACACCCTGGCTCCGATCAGAAGAAGCCTTCAGCTTGTGGAAATCTCCAGTTTCCTTCGATAAGTACGAGAAGTTTGCCACTCTGGTTAGCAACAGCCAGGCTCTGCTCAGACCTTTGGATGACATGGTGAGGAAGGCGTGGAACATGTTTGCCTCCAGGTGAGACCAAACCCAGAGACTAGTTATGGAATATTCTAGCACATCCTTTCATCTACTCATGTTAGATGTTTGATTTTATTTACAGGGCTTACATTCATCAGTACATTAAATATAACATTTCAGAGGAGGACTTCCTGGACAGCTTCACATCTCTTGAGCAGGTCATCTCCAGCTACGGTCAGCTGCAGTGCTAGCACACACCAACACGTACTTTTATTGAAAATAAGGAATACTTTTGGGATTTTAGTTTGTAAATTTGTAAATAAAGGAATAAAATGTCATTTGTTCACTGATTTTCTTTTTACGAGTAGGTGATCAGACAAAAACAGTGATTTTTATATTTACATAAAAGATAAGCTCATTTCAGGGGGGATGTCACCGTTGGCATGGGAATTAAGCCTGTTTAGGGCTGTACTTGTTGCAGTGGATTTGAAAAAAGGCATTTTATAAGTAGTTTGGAAGAGGATTTGGGACATTAAAATGTGTGGAAGCTGATGCTGCTAGTTAAGTATTTTAATAATAAATCTAAATTCTGGTTGGGATAAACACGTTTTTTAAATAAATATTTCTGGGCATTTGTTGCACTCGAATCGGTTTCTTTTAGGTTTTGGAAAAAATAAAGATCCCAAAATTCAACAGATGACAGCAGGTCAAACTACCCTTCACTCTTGGAGCTGCATGTTTAATTTAAATCATCAGTACATTTGCAGTGGTCTGGTAAGAATAAATGCCTTGTACTCTGGAGGAAAAAAAGCACTGGTGCACCAGTTTCAGGAACAGGAGTGAGCCACATCACAGCTGAGCTTCAGACGGCAGGATTTGGAGTCTAATTTCCTGATATTCTGACATATGGCCTCTGACTGGCTAACAGCAACACGACTCTACCACTAACTTAGCTCTGCAACATTGATGTTTGATCTCCACAAATAACACAACCTGAAGTTCTGTTCAGAGTGACTGATTATAATCAGAAATACAATTTTAAAAATAGGGTTTTCAGTGTTCCACGCCTTGAAAAAAATCTAAATTTTTCTCAGAATTTTGATTAAAATTCGGGATTCCATATTTTTCTGAGGTTAAAGGCAAATAATTATTTTCCTCTTTTGTAAATGTCTACTGAAATATTTCTTTAGTCATTTTAGAAAAAACATCGTTGTGGGGAGCGGGGGCTAAAATTATCCGGATAGTTCAAGAAAATGATACAAAAAACAAATCTAAACACTAATGGTACTTATTCATTTTGGTTGTCCTGTTGTGGAAATCAAATGCAATTATTCTATGATAAGCTGCATGAACCCACATTTAATATTTTAAAACATCATTTTTTACCAGTTAAAAGCCCCCGTGGACGGCCCTAAGGGCTGCTTGTGGCTCCAGAGCCTCAGGTTGCAGACTTCTGGCATATTTATGTCACACTGTAAAATACTTGGTGAACCAAGCTAAGATTAAAGATCTGCTAGATAAATTGAACATGTATGCTTGTCAGCAAGAAGGCTGCAGGTTCCAATCCCATCTGCATGCAGTTAGCACGCTGTCCTTGAGAGCTCTGGTTTGTCCCAGACCAAAACCATACATCAGGTTACCTGGAGACGCTCTATTGTCCCTATAGTGTCCCTGTGATGGACTAGAGATCAGGCCAGATCCAAAGTCCAGGTATTAAAAATTCATTTTTGAACGTAATTTGAGGAACTGTGTAAATCTATACTTCCTACTTATATATTTGTTATAGCTTCTGTCTGAGGAGGGTTCTCATGGAAACCGAAGAACAGCTACAACTGAATATTAACCTCTAAAGGCATTCGCAGCAGCAATCGAGAATAAACCAAACACTGATTCGAGACTCAGGTTTCTTTATTGATGACTTGGCTTGTTTTATAAAACAGAAAAGAGCGTACATTAAAGCAGAGCATCAATAGAGAGAGGCGCTAACGCAGCCACAAACGGACCAAGTAAAAAGCCGAAAGCCCACAACTTCAGCCAGCTTACAGACCGCTGTTGCCATGGAAACGTTACTGCCAACACCAGTCTGATAAGCTAGCTGACGGGGTGGGAAAACGAAGCTGGAGGAGAAGAAAAATGCTAAGATCCAGAGTCCACATTTGGTTTGAGTCAGGAAGTAAAGCATCTGACTGATCTAGCAAATATTAAAGAAGTCACTTACCTTGTAGAGGCTCTCTGCTAAATGCATTCAAATCAACATTTAAAAAAAGAAAACAAAAACAAAATACTCAGACTTGGAAAACTTGTTTCCTGGTTTTATACATGATCGGAATATACAGAGTAGAAATGAGACTATATCGAGTGTACAATGTCACTTCACCAATTATCTTTTTGTTTTGCTCATGTACACCACGAATGGAATAGAAACAACCGTGCATCCTGTCAAAAAATATTAACATATTTACACAATGTGCAAACTATCAATACACCACTGTTTTAAGTTGATATTGCTTTCTTCTCACTTCAAACCAACGTCACTAAAACAAAGATCTTACTGTTAGACAGGACAGGGACATGGGGACAGCCCTGAAAAGAAAACATCTGCTGCACACGGTTAGATAAAATCTACTTCCATCCACACATAACTGTTACAAAATTAAATTAAAATCACGTAACTAAGTCAGGAGTTATTTCAGAGGGAATTCTGACGTTCCCGTCTTGCATAAGGCGTAGCAACGGACTGACGCTGCCCTCAAACACAGCAGTTACCCTCCAATCACCGCAGTTCCTCTGAGGTCCATGAATGGATCATCTTAAAGTAACATGTTAAGACCAGCAGTACAACCAACCAATCACACGGCAGAGTGAGATAACAGGAGGAACTAGACACCTTTAAGAAACAATAAAACAACACATACATCCTCTCTCTCTCTCACACACACACACACACACACACACACGCGCACAAAGCCAGTCTGATCTTCTTTTTAAACTCTTGAGAATGGATGGCGGTGAGGTTTGTTGGTAATGTATTTGAGTGGCCGTGTCTGAGTGGAGCGCTCTCAGCAGAAGCAGCACAGTCACTTGGATGCACACACAGCTTTGAACCGCCATCACTTGGTTTTCTCCTCCGAGTTCCTCAGCTGCTGCAGCCGCTTGGCGTAGCTCTGAGCCATGGAGTTGATGATTGAGATGATAAAGTAGCAAACCATGACCAGCACCACCTTCTCAAACACCCACGAGAGCCAGTTGTCATCCTGGAAAACCCCAAATGACAACGGATAAATGGCACTACCTACATTACTGTAATTCAGCCTTTTGTTGTCAGAATTCAATGGAAATGTGATCCTGAGCTACACCCGGAAGAAAAAAATATCTTCGGCTACAGCTTTGTCCACTAGAGGGCGCCAGTTTTCATTCCAAACTCACTATATGGTCTAATTTACAGTAAAAATGTAAAGTTGTCCTTACGGCTGTTTTACTTCCTCCAGCGTGGTGTAGCTTGTTCTTCTGGGCCTCCAGGTACTGACTGAAGGGCTTCTGCAGAGATGGTCCAACTCTAGGCACAGACCTGGACACCCACAGAGCAACAAAGAAAAGAACAAAAGGAAGAGAAAGGTTTAGTCACTTACCCATAAAAGGCTTGAACCAGGCACTTCTCTAAACCTGTAACAAAGTCCATCCTCTAAACTCTGATCCGGGAGTCCGACAGCATCAGAGCAGCAGCTGCTGAAGGCCTCATTCTACACGTGGACTCACTGCTGCCGCTGCCTCCACCTCTAATTGTTACTGTGAGCAACAAGGAGTAGGCAGCAGGCAGGACTGAAGCAGGAACTCCTCAGTTCTCCTTTTATACTCTCAAGTTCTCTAAAGGAGTCTGTGTCAGCCTCTTCAATCAGGAAGTGAGTCGGCATGATGTCATCACCTCTACCACCATGTAAGGACAGCCAATCAGGGTGTGCTAACGTCCCTATTTGGCAGTAAGGAAGTGCTCAGGCACCAGTCATAATGAGTCTCACGTAAACCTTTCATGTCAGGGACAGGCAGATGGCGATAAAGGAGCTGTACATTCTAGATTTCTACTTCTTGTTAAACTTCTAATTAGCATGAGGACAAAAGGTTACATACGCTCAGGCATGAATGGTTTTCCGTCCCTGGACAGGATGTAAACATGTCTAGATTTGACTAGACTAAGCAGACCATGAGATAATGAGCACCAAATGGAGACGGGGTAATTCCTGATGGTGAATCAAACTACATCTGAATGAGTCAGTTCTGTTATCTGGCCCACTTCGCACAAGAAAACCCGAACAAACACCCGGAGTCAGCACGGATGCACCGTTGGTACAGACCATGGCGAGTCATCACAACAGCCAGGTTTCATGGGAAACAAGCCTCAACGGTTTTCTTCTAAACGACCAAGAACTGTGACTAAATATGGTCAAAGGCACAGCCTTCATTTTGAATCTGACGGGCGACCAATCAAAAGAGCAGCAGGAGATGGTTTTTGACTGGAGCATTTTTTAAATGTTCTTCACATATCAAAGGCAACAATAAATGAAATGTTTTAATCATTTCTGAATAATACAATCCTGAAGAAACTTCATCCCGTCATGAACATCCTGCTGCTGTGATTTTGAAGAATAAAACGAGAAGGCTAACAACCAACTCATTTTCACCATAAAACACCACGTTATCTTAGCTATAGCATACAAGTGGTTATGCAGTTACAGAGGTGCATTTGTGTTGGGAATTACGGCAGAAAAGGTCCCCACAACGGGTTGAGACTGTAAAACTGAACCCCCGGGAACAAGGAGCGAGCATTCCTGTATTCTGATGGTGCAGACTGGGGGGAGGGCCTGTAGAAAGGGGGTTGGACCTTTGACTAGTGTATTTTCAAAATGTAGTTTGAGCATCTCATATTCCACCTTTAGCTCTGGTTCTGTTTCAGAAAGATAAAGTTAGCCAGATCATTCAGACATATCACCTCCGATTGGCTAACAGGAACACGACTCTACCACTGACTCCATTTGCTCTGCAACATTGATGTTTTATCTTCACAAACAACACAAGCCTGGAGAAGTTCTGTCATGTGGTGGAGTTGCTAATGCTAAGGGTTAGCTTCTACTAGCCTAGACATGCTCTGCTTTCTCCTGAACACTAAAACAACAACAGCTCCCACTGACTTCCTGTACCTGAGCTCACACATCTCTAAAACCATGGGATGAATTTTAATGCAACGTTCAGAAATTCATACCTGGATCTAGGGCTGGGCGATATGACGATTTTAGACCGTTTTACGATCTACACATCTGACGGTCTGTCATTTTTGAGAGACCGTTTTATCACGATTCACAGCTCTGCTGTTGAATTTCTGCCTCTGAATGAAAATGGAACTTACCTCAGGCGAATGACACGCCTTTGTTTGACCCTTAACCAATCAGAGTGAGTCATAGTAATATATTAGTGCCCCGCTTGTTTTCACCTGTGTGTGAACAAACATGGCTTCGGCCGCGGCTGAGCGACAACGAGGTTTTCGTTCCGAAGAGGAACACAGGGTTTCCTTAGCGCGCTGCGCTAACAACTTAGTGACGTGACATGTCTCGGAGAAAGCGTAAAAACACGTTGGACGCTTCTTCTGAAGCAGGAAAATAACACTGCTTCTTAAGCAGAGCACGACGTCGCCTCGGCTCGTCCACCCTCTGCCGAGCCGGTGTCGGTACCGGACTGAGCTCAGTCACTGGGTCGTTGGAGCTGCCCCGTGACTGCCTGATGGAAAACCAGCGGGTTTCATCAGACTCGTAGTTTCTTGTTTTTGCTGGGGACCCCCTGTATTTTACTGCTCCCTCCTGCAGTCTTCCCCTATTAAAATTTAAAATGATTCTGTAAACTCCGTGTATCAATAGAAACAATCTCTGCCTCTGCCAGCTGCAGTAAATGTAGTTTCCAAATAATAAGAGGTGCATTCATCTGTGTATCTCCTTTGATCCGCATTAGTGATATTCTCAGCACCAGAACAGTGAAGCAAAGAAAGATTCCTGAGTTTGTTAGTAATTTTATTTATTAGGTGCATCTGACCTGTTCTATTTTTCTATGAAATGAGATCAAATCAGTGCTTCTATAAGTTGTCTCCAATCTGCACTGGAAAATTTTACTTTATTTAGAGACTTGTTGCAGAAAATATTCAAAATGCGCAGTTTTTTGCTACCACAAGCAATCTCTGGTCCAGCCGCACGTCAGAGCCGTATTTGAGCTTAACTATCCACTACATGAGCAACTGGGAGCTACATAGTATTTTGAACAAGTTAATGTTTGCACAATACGTTTGCAATTGACATGTTTGCACTTTAAATATGTTTACGATTTTAATTTATGTTAAGTTACTTGAAAAACGAGAAAAACTGATTTTTGTAATGGTTTCTCTCAGGGCTTTTATCATCTCTGGTGTGAGTTTAAAATATAAGTGTGTTAGCACTGTGCTGATTATCCCCAATATGAATAAATGTTTATTTATTCAATGTTTCTCTTCTTTAATACTTAATTGAAGTTATGCTATACATGGATAAAAAATCGTGATAAAATCGAAATCGTGATAAAATATGGGAAAAATCGTGATATTCTATTTTTGCCATATCGCCCAGCCCTACCTGGATCTACATCGGATTACCTTTTGGACTCGGTCAATTCAACTTACTGACATCAGCACGCATAAATGGTCAACAATGCAGTGAGATTTAACAAGGCCAAGCTGAAATGAGGGGTGGTAGCTGAGAGTAGTCCATGACACAAAAGTGACTCTGCAAAATCTGAACAAAATCAGGAATTTCTCAAGTATAGTTTACGTTGAATCTGACAACTGTGTTACTTCTACATCTTCTCCATTAGCATTAGCTGAGCAGCTAAAGTAGAGATCAACTCTCCAGCCTGGTGTCTGATCGTGTTCTTCGCCTCATTCAGAACATCCTCCCAGTCAGAGCTGAACGTTTTGAACGTGACCTCACACTCCTGACCATCAGTGCTGCAGAGACTGCATGTAGGCAGCACAAAGAAATACTTGTGTGTGGAAAAAATGCAAAATGCAAACACGTCCACCCCCCTGCAGAGAAAGCATTCAATCATACAGGATTCCCATTCGGTGGTTAAAAATGCATCTGAGAGTGTTTAGTAATGCATCAGTAACCACAAAGCAGGGAGGACTCATCACGTAACTGAATAATTCAGCTCCTCACACCTCTACACACACACACACACACACACACACACCCACCCACATGCACACACACACACACACACACACACACACACACACACACACACACACACACACACACACACACACACACACACACACACACACACACACACACACACACACACACACACTTACCCAATGAGTGACACCATTTGCTCCACTATGTGGTTGCTGAAGGTAATGATCACAAAAAGTTTCTGTGGGGAAAACAAGAAGGATTATTACTATTAATAATAATATTAATAATAATTATAAATTCTGTGTTTAGTGGATTTTATCGTGGACATCGCAGAAACACAGCTGTGGGAAACGAGCCACATCTGCTCGTGTCTGCTCACAGACACACTAATTATGAAACTCAAACCTGGCACTAAGCTAAACTCTGTGCTGCGAGGGGGTTTGTGTGGTTAGAACAGGACCAAAGCGGAAGGGTGGGTAGGTGGACGGGGGGCAAAAATCACATTATTCTTCTCTAGTTCTGAAGCCAATCAGCTTTAAAGAGCATGACACATGCCCTCCTGGACAAAATCAGACAGGATACGTCTGAGAAAAAGTCTCCCCTGCAGCTTTTTGAGTCTGTTTTAATTTCATTCTTGTGTCCACTGATCCTCAGACACCTCCCACCCTGCAGTAAGACATGCCCTCCGTTGGAGAGGTCTCACTGGCTCTTTCTACTGAGAGATGGATTTATTAAATGAAGACAACCCCGAGTCACTCACATACAGACAGGTTTACATTAGTCACAGGGGTGGCAGACTCAACACTAGCCTCCATAATTAACTCGGTTCTTTTCTGAGATCCGGAGTAATTTTATTTGGATCCAAGCCGTTGTTAAAATGCCTTTCATCTACAGTCTATTGATCTGGTCTGGAATCAAACCAAAGCCATTGGTGAGAGTCAACCAAAAATGTACAATTAAAAGTTTCACAGTAACCGACGTGATCTCGGCCCCAGGCTTGATCTTTCCCACACGTCTGGTCAAACTGCACCAGTCAGCACCGAACAGCCTTTTTCTCTTTGTGTGTGTTTTAGAGACGGATCATGACTTTGTGTGTGTTTTAGAGACGGATCGTGACTTTGTGTGTGTTTTAGAGACGGATCGTGACTTTGTGTGATGACACGAAACAAAAGGCTGAATCACATTAGAAGAGAAGAGGTGGGGAGTCTGATAAACAGCAGAAATAGGAGGAGAGTAAACATTTTACGTACCTGTATATGCATCTTGATTACAGCTTTCCCAATTAAAGTTGCTCCAAAGAAGGTCCAGAAGGGAACCAGGAAGTGACCGCAGGTGATTCCAGCCAAGTCAAAGAGAGGGTTTGGAATCTGGAAAACAAAGAATTTAAAACGTGGTGTTGACGCGATAAAAGAAGAAGAAGAAGAAGAAAATATCATTTCTATAGCGCCTCTCAAGATAAAAATCACGAGGCGCTTCACAAAAACAAAAAATATAAAAATTGTAAAAATATAAAAAAGCATGACGTGGTCGGTAAAGAAAGATACCAGGTAGTCAGACAACCATTACAAATGGTCTAGAACTATTTGTCTCCAGGTTTTCTAAAGGACTTTTAATATATTATTTAACGTTTATTGCACTAATTTTCACTCCACCACCAGATCTTTTTATAAAACGTATGAAAGATGACACCATTTGAGACACAGGATTATATTTCAGCTCCAACAAGGAGCCATACAAGGAGTAATTAGAGTTAAAACGTGGTGCATCTTTCAGGTTCTGGCTGTTAAAAGATGATGTTCCTCTGCTGCAGGTTTGATTCTTAACTAACAGACTGAACAAAGTGCAGCATGTGCAAAGTTAGAGAAAAAAACTGTTAAAAATTACACGACTTTCAGATATTCTGGAGAAATATTGATTAAAACCACATTTAACAATATGGTCGGGAAGCAAAGTCAGAGACGAGGAGCGGTTTGGTTTAAAACATTTGTCTTTATCTAGTTAACATTTATACTCACCGAGGCACAAGCCAGGATCCCAAAGAACCCAACTTTCTGCACCATGTGCTGAACTCCCAGTTTGGCTCTTGTGACAAAGTCCTAAAAATTAAATATAAATAAACAAATATGTTCTTACAAATTTTACTTTCTTTGTAAAAGTAAATACGAAGACAGCACATTTCTTCTTTCTTTACCTCTAGGGTTCGGGTTAGGCTTGTCTGCAGCGTTAGAACAAGGAGCACTATGGTACACAACCTGCTACTTCTGAGCACTACTGTTTTTTATATTTGGTAAATCTTGTGGCATTTTGCTAAAAATCTGTGGTAAAAAAGTGCCACGGCTCTTTGATTGCATCTTTTTTTTCTCCAGTGGGGGTGAAAGATCTGCGGTTACTCAGAAAAGATCACAGCCGGTGCAAGGAGGGGGTCAGGAGGCCATTTTAAAACCTGGCACCTTGTAAATGTTCATTAAAAAAGCTAACCGTGTTTCTGTGGGGCGGGGCAGGGTTTCCTCACAGAAGGTCTGGGGTTCAAATCCCAGCCAGGCTCTTCTGTGTGGGGTTAGGGTTACATCCCATAACCATTTCCCTTTTATAGAAAAGCTATTTTTATTGTTCTTCAACTGAGCGTACAATTTGGTGTGACATTTATTCTGTAATTCTATCTCCAGAACCTTTGGGCACTCCCACAAAAAGCTCCGACCCGTCCAGGTTTTCACTGCTGTGAATAAATCCGGTGAGTCCACAGGGGCGCGCACAGGTGAGCCCTCTCAGTCTGCTCAGGAAACAATGGCTGAAGTGGGGTTAGGTGATGGACACAATGCCCAACATTTCTCCAATTTCCCCTCTGCTGACTCAGCGTGTGATCTAAGCCGTCTGCAGTCATGTGAACGCCGTTCCTGACAGTCGTGTCTGTCATTCAGATTAGAGGCCGCTGAGAGGGAGGGAGGGAGGGAGCGAGCGCGCAGCTCTGGGATGATTAAAGAGGGAACTGTGCTCAGGGTGACTCACCCACCAACAGACACGTTTACTGGAAGTGCATGAAGGGAGGGACTTCACTGAAGTCACATGATCTGCTGAGACCAATCAGAGGCCAGAAGCTCCATGTTCAGATGTGAATTATAAAAACTTAGACCAAATTAAAAAGGATGGTGTCACGCTGAGCGGAGAAGCAACATGAAATCATCTTTGAAACCACACAGATGGAGTTCAACCATCACTTTGTGCTGACGACGGCACCAAGACTACAAAAATGTCTGAACCCACCAGATTTATTTTAAGAGCTTTAAATCTTCAAATAAAAGTGAAACTAGCGAGAGATTAGGTTGGAGCAATCTAGGGAAAAACTGAATTTATGCAGATATTTAAGCAACCATGATAACATGACCGGCTCTGACCTGTGCGTCCTCAGCCTGCTCCAGCATCTCCTCAAATTCCTCATAATCTTCATCATCTGGATCGGCTCCCGACTGACGAGCTGCTCTTGCCATGAAGTACGGAGGAAGCTCTCCGATGGCCGTGCCCGCACCCTAAACACGTACAGCTTCATTCATCATACTATTTTTTTTCCCTGCAGTCACATCACAGGAACTCTGACATGTGCAGCCACTTAGGATTCATTTACAAACAAAACAGATGGAGCTACTCACCCACATGCAGGCCTCCAGGCGGACTTTGGACATGATGGAGAAGAGCGAGACACTGCCCTCCAGTTGTCCGTCGTCAGGACAAACGATCTCGTCTGGGTACGGAGGCTCAGGGAAATCTATGGAGCCACACTCATACGCTGCCAGGGTCACTGAGGCTATGTGAGGACCCTGAGAAACAGAAAGGCTGGTCGTTTACACAATGAGATGAAAACACCAAAAAAAACTAAACAACGTTGGGGAAAAAATTAGCAAAACCAAATTCTGAGAGAAAAACCCCGAAATGAAAAAAAAAAGCAGCTTAAGTTTAAAGAGTTACAGAAATCATTTAGAAATCCCCCCCCCCCCCAAAAAAAAAATCATTTTATCATCTGAAAAGTTCTGTGGAAAAAATGAAATATTTTACTTGGGGGGGGGGGGGACTAAGAAGAATTTAATTGGGCTCTATGCCATTTGGCAAATAAATCCAATCAAATAAATGGTCTTTTGAAATTCAAACTTTTTAATCGAGGGCCAAAATCACCAAAGTAAAAGTCCTCACGAGACACAAAAGTTTGATGATTTTATTGAGAAAAAAAAAAAAAGCTAAATGACTTTGTTGTGAATGGTTTTATTTATACTCTTCAAACATAGCCTGTTAATTTTTTATTTTTTTTAAGTGCTGATCTACATCAACAGCCAGCTGGGGAGATAAATGTGCCCCGTTCTCGCATACTCCATTCGAGGGCCGCAAATGGCCCCCGGGCCACACTTTAGAGCTCCCAGATTTAAATAAAAGCTGTTAATCCAACTTGGAGACCACAATTTGTGGTATTTTTTAATTTTGATTTGCAGCATGCCATCATTAAAACATAATTATATATAATCCAGCTCTGAATGGCTGAGCCCATCCAATATTCACACTGTTGCAGACACACACACACACAACTTCAGTTGAGTCACACACAAGACACACACACTGACAGGTAAGTCATTATGTATCCCTGTATGATGTGTGGTTAGCCACCTGGCCTCAATAACAGTGGGCCCACCTGTTACCAAGACACAGATAATCCTTTATGCTTAACGCCGCCACGTCAACGCGGACAGTGAAGAGACTTAACACAACAAGCCTGTGTTCCCTGAAAAATAAAGTCACTACTTCACTTCAAATCCAAGAACAAAGAATGCCTCTTTAATTTGATTAACCAAACCTGACATGACAAAAAGAATGGCTTCAAAACTACAAATATGGAGACTAAATCCAGGTAAAAGAGTCACTAAACCGGATACCGGGGGACATCCTGGACAGGTCTCCAGTCCATCACAGGGACACCCAGGAGTTTAGTTAGTAAGACGAACATGCTGGTGAAAACAAGTGACATTTTGACAAAACCTTCTCAGTGGCCTAGTGGTATTGTCCACCCTGGGACTGGGAGATTGGGGTTCAAATCCCAGTTGGATTATACCAAAGACTTTGGACATGGGACATAGTTCCTCCCTGCTTCACACTCAGCTTTAAGGGATTGGATTGGGGGGTTAAACCACCAAATAGTTCCCAAGTGTCCCCACTCACCACCCCCCACAGGGATGGGTCAGATGCAGAGATGGAATTTCACCAGTGTGTGATGACTAACGAGACTTTAATTTAAGTTTGAGACATCCAACATGAAGGAACATGTTTCATAACCTTTCCCTGCCAGGATGGGCTTAGGAAAAGTGTCAGGGACCCGAGGCAACATAGTAACTCATCTGGTGAAGAGCAGAGTTTCTGTGTGTCATTAAAATTGTAATAATTGATCCAGTTTAGTAGGATAAACCACTACAAAATAAACTTATTCACTGCAGAGGTATCCAAAATCATCACCACACGGGCCACATTCACCAAACTACTTCATGGGCCGTAAATGTCTATCTTTTTAAACGGAAAAAGAAATTTTCTGTTATTTTATTTTTTTGGAAATAAAGTAGACATACAGTATTTGTAATAAAAGATCTTCTGTGTAAAGGGAATTATTAAAACTCTTTATCTGATTATTAAAAGGGTTTCCTATGCTTGTCTAATTTGTCCAATATTCAATTTTCTGGATTTGGTCTTTAAAATTACATTTTAGGCTTTTCTAGCAAACAACCAGAAATAGTTTATTCTTTATTTAAACATATTTTCTATATTTAGCAAAGTATTATGAATGTTCACACAGATAAGTTATTTGGTCAAAGCTGGTGGAGGTTTGTGGTCCTATTCAGCAAGAAATAAAAATAAAATCGGAGTCGATAAAAGAAACACCTTTTATTGTATCGAATGTACAATAAAAACGTTCGTGAACTGCAGTCGGAGACCACACAAAATCACACCACGCATTCATTTAAAAATAAATGTTTCTACGGAAGAGGATTAGGGCCACTAAAAAGAAAAATAAGTCAGACTTTTTTTCAAAGTCAAAAATCAGAAATCTTTTTTCTTTTCAATGGCCCTAACCCGCTTCTGTAAATTACAGATAAAAATGTCTTTCTGTAAATAAGTATTGAAACAATATTGGAGCCAATCAGATGGAACAGGGCCCAAGACGCAGTAGGTGCAGAAACTCCATCCATCGTTATTTTTGTATTCATCTCAGAAATTAAGGGTCATTTGTGTTTTGTAGAGAGAAGAAAGGAGGACATTTTTGTTCTACTAACTTGTTTGGACAGGTGAGGTATTTGTTCTGAGCGCCGACATCAACAAGGATCTCACTCCCGATGAGTCCTCCAGGTTCGGGTGAGCAATGTGGTTGCTTACCAATGGATGAGTGGATATGAGTGACTACTTTTAAAGTTATTAGAACATCAGAGAAAGTTATTACGTACTAGTATAAATCTGTTTTTCATTTTTTTAAATAAAATGACTTTAATGACTTTTATACTTTTATAATCTGACACAATGGAGAAAAAAAAACTAGAAAGTATCCATAAAATCCACCATAAATCTGACAAAGTACTAACTACTTTTAATTTCCCCCCCCCCCAGACAAATGTAAAATAAAATGCATTTTCCCCCAATTAGAAAATCATCCCAATGAAACATCATAATGAATCATGAGATCCAGTGGTGAGTGAATCCTTTGTCTACGGTGATCTAATCCTCTCTGTGGGGCGCCGCGAGGATCGAATGGAAACCACGGCTAATCGGAGCCATTTTCCTTACAAACACGTTAACATGGATGACTGTGAGGGTCTGCATCGAGAACATGAAAATCAGGAGCTCGTCTCCTTGTGAGTAGCAGGCTTAAAGTGTGTGGAAACAATTCAAATTGTCAGATAAATAAATAAAAGTTGATGTGACTTATGTTAATAAAACAGATTATTGTTTTATAATAAACCTGCACTACTACAACTTATCCAGAAGTTAGGAAGGGACTAAGATTGGTTAGAGACTACAAAAGTAAAGTTCATTTTAAAAGGTCTGGCTGAAGAAAATTTTAGAACTAATTTAACTTCAGCAGATTATCAGAAAAAATATTAGAGATAAATTTATTTTAAAATAGACTTTCATATAGTTATAAAAGATACTGAATTTAAAACAACAGAACTTTAATTAATTAAATATTCAAAACTGTTTGGTTTAATTTTTTACATTTTAACTGTTAAAATGTTCAAAAGGCTGTTTCTCAGTGTCAAATTATTTATTTTAAATTCAAACTGTTTTTTTGTTCTTTCGTCAAAGGGGCAAAAAGTTACATTCAAATGAAAATAAATCAAAACTCTTTAATTTGATTGGTTGATTTTGGAAACTCAAATTTGCTCTAAAAAGAATTCAGTTTAAGTTCAGTGTGTGTGTGTGTGTGTGTGTGTGTGTAAAAGCTACAAAGACTTTCATAGTGCACATCTGTTCAGAAAAGCTAGGCTCATATCTTTTTCCTATTATTTCATCATGATGGAAATCGCTGACTCGACAAACCCACATGTGAACGAGTTTGGGACAGAAGTCGCATCACGTCTCTGAAGTGGACTTCATTCAGCCAAATCGTCCTTTTTAACCACAACCAGAGCACAAGATGCAGGTTTTAGTGACTCGGACACACAGTCATCCTGTGACAAATGTCAGCAGAGGAAAACTGCATCGCTCTGGGATTGCCCTTGCACAGTCAACATGGGTACGGAAAGGGTACATTGTTATGCTCCAAGGGACAAAAATGACATTAACGCAGTCTAACGACTAATATTGGACCTCAGGGTATCCATCTGTACTTTTATCTTTTTCTGAAAGGTACATTTATGTTCTTTAGTAGTAAAAAGTACACATTTGTACGGTACAATTTCTGGTTATGATCCCTTTCACTAAAAACCATCCGTTAGCAAAACTACTTCTGCAAACAGATTTCATAGTTTCACTGTTCACCATTTTGTAAGTGCTAATCATTTTCCCTCTGGGATTAATAAAGTATTTTTGAATTTTGAATTGAATTAAAGATCATTGTAAAAGTATTTGTTGGATTTAAAAAATGAACAATAAATATAAAAAATGTATTAACCAATTAATTATTTCTGAAAAGAATGTGGCTCAGTTTTCTTTTGAAAGCATAAATATTGGGATAACAAATGTCTTCTAACAGCAAAGGTAAATATGGAAGAAAAAAGCTGACGATCTGAGGCAATCCAAAAGTAGTTTATTAAGATATGAGCTGACGCATTTTGGTCCCATGAGACCTTCTTCAGGGCACAATCCTGTGTTCCCTGAAGGATTATGCTCTGAAGAAGGTCGCAAGCGACGGAAACACGTCAGCTCATATCTTAATAAACTACTTTCAGAGGGTCTCAGATCATCAGCTTTTTTCTTCCATATTTACCTTTTATGTTTTTATGATGCTGAAGAGCACCCGAGACACCTACAGAAAATATGTATCATTCCCACTGATGCACTCACTCCCATCTGCCTGATGTCAGTAATTGGAATTGATTCCAATTTGAAGCTTTTGTCACATACTACTGATAAGTTTGTAACAGGCCAGCATTGTATTTGAAAAGTAAAAATAATTAGTATTTTTGAATTTGTATCTGAGGTCTGAAATTTTTATGATCTTGAAATAAAAGAACACATGCACATATACATATATAAATATACATAACATTTCAGTGTGCAGTGCTTAGTGCAGTTGCCTTGCAATTAGGAGGTCCCAGGTTCACATTCTGGTCTGCATGTTCTCCCTGTGTAA